ATCATTCAGTTGGGAAGAGCATTTAAGCAAAGATGGGAATCGGATGGGAGTTTGGATCATTGAGGCTTAACAAAACGTGGTAAACACACACTTTTCCTAGACAAAAAGTAAAAAACGGTCTTAAGAACAAAACTGCCATTGTAATCCACCCCAACCAACAACCCTGAATATTTGAGAGGCAGCCACACAGGGGAATATGACAAACATGTTTATTTTTCTGATTTGGCAAGTAGATGTTAATGTAAACTCAAGGGCTTTCGAAACACATTTGATACGATATTCATATTTTTCTCAATTCTTCTTCAAATACAGGGCAGTGCCAGCATATTCCCATGGTAGGTAAATGTCAGGGATAACTACTGAATATTCCTTCACAAGGAATGTGTTTTTTCTTTTCTCCCTTCAATTCTTCTCCTTTTCTTCTGCCTTCCCTTCCTTCCTTTCTGCAGCAATAAAAGCTTCTCACAAGATTGCTGGTGTTTAACACGTTATTTCTGGCTACAAGGGAACTGGCCTACCTAATTTGACAAAACTGACCTATGTAGAGTATTGTTTAGTGTTGTTATTTTGTTTTGTTTTTATTATTACTGTTGTTGTTTTAATTCCAAAGCTATTTGCATCCGTGCATTAAAAATTGCTAAGGTTGCTCATGTTCCTTCTGGTAAGATATTTTGCTTCCTAGAGCCTTGGCTTTCAAATTTGTAAAGTGGATATTATAATATATATCTGGCAGAATTATGTGTTTTAAAGGAATTTAGGGGATACCAGGCTAATCCATGCCAATTACTCAATAGCTTGATCAAATTATTGATATTCTCTACCCTCACTCTCACTCTGGCCAGCCAGTTCCACTAACTACAGCACCCCATGGCCAATGTTTTGGTCAAATAGAGTCTTGCCTTTATGCCCCAAATCCATTATTTCTTTTCTACTTCCTATTTAGTACTGTCAGATCTAAATGTTTTATGCCAGTTATCACAGAAGCCCCTGAATTCATATAGTGAACCCTCTCTCCCCACCATGGACATGGCAAATTTTAACTGAAATATTTGAAAATGTATATGAATAGTTTTCCATGTATTTC